AACTAGGCAGGTCTACACTCATAGGCCCTTTGACAAATTACTGAGCTAAGCAGGAAACAAATGAAGCCAGTTCATAACTGTGATATTCCATCATAGTTGCCCTCTCTCCAGCTCTGCTAGGGCCCCTCTCTTCTCCCTATGACCCCTTGGGAGCACTAGTGAGTGACTAAGGATTGGAACTTCAGGGCCCTATTCATAGGGTCTGGAGCTAGGGTGACTCTGATTAGAGCCAAGTCACTTCCCCTGCTCTAATCCACCTTAAGTGGGCTGACCCAGATTAAAGCTCCTCGTTCCCCTAATTGCACAAACCAAGGAATCACAGAATCAGAAATGTAGTTTTATTTAAGGCAGAGGTAGGGAAAGGCTATGCCCTTCCATCCCCCTCCTCCTACCCCTAAGTTCTATCCTAAGTCAGACACTGGGACCTGCTGAAAAGGCTGAGGGGCTGACAGGAAGGTGGCAGGGTATTGGACTCTTACCTCTGATCAGCTTCCTTTCAGTTGTACCCATACCCCGAGGATTTAGGGGCTTCTAGATCTCACCTAAGGGAAATACAGCTTTCCTGGTCTTCAAATGGGACGAACCCAGAATTCACCCTTCTCTGGAAGAGACTAGCCCTCCAAAGGTAGGAGGAGAAAAGCACCTGTCAAGAGGACTAGGAGAGGGATGACAAGTATGAGGGATAGAAGGTCTCTTGAGCGAAGTCTGGGCAGGCCTGGCTGTGCCCTCACACAGGGTATGGGTTGTCCAGAACTGCCACTCCTGCTACCACACCACCATCTGCATGTTCAGTGGCTTTGGTTCGAAGCAGATGTCCCACGTGCTTGTTCATCACAAGTGTCTTTCCCTGCCTATAGAAATGGGAGCAGGAGACACACAACTGTCACCTAGACTCAGTCTTCAAACCCATGACCTTCCCTGGTTCCAGCTGAGCAGTACATGAGTCACTGACTACACCCAAGAAAGTGCTAGGATTTTAGAAACAGGTTTGGGTTTGCATCCTAGCTTGGAAAATACTAGCTCTGTGTCTTTGAACAAGTTACTCAGCCTTTCTAAATATCAATTTCTTCAATTTTAAGTGGGGATAATACCTCTCACTTTGCAAGACAGTCATGAGGCTTAAATAAAGCAGGAAAAGCACATAACATGATGCTAGGCTCACATTTCATGTTCTATAGTTATAAATCCCCTACTTCCCTCTCAAGATGGCTATGGTGATGGGGAGGGTATGGGATGGTGGAGAGGGTTTGGGAGTGGCAGGCAGAGATGCTGTGAGTGGTGAGAGGGGATGATTATAGAGAGGGCAGGCTCTGGTGGGGAGCATGGCAGGATCTGGTATTCCTATCTTGCCCTGACCTTGGAGTATTTTCTAGGAAGCAGTAAGAGGGACCAGAAACTGTTCCTTATAAATACCCAAGTCTTCCTCTATTCTTGATTCTTTAGTGCTCAAATCCAAATCTAGGGGCCACTCAGATTTTCAAAGCCACTGAGTATCCTCTAGCTGGCCCATTCCACCTTTCCCCAGACCCCAGAAGACTGGGAACTAGACCTAAACTCTCTTCTTTATTGGGGTCTCCCTCTAGTCCAGGGTTATTTTCTCATCCATATTGATACCTTAAGTGGTATCAATTACTTGAAATTTCCTTTATAGTTGCAAAACACTTCTCATCTGGGCTTCATTTGATAGCCCTGTTAGGTGGGCAGGTCTTGGGTCCTTGTTTTTTTTTGTTAGATAAGGAAATGTAGCTAAGAATAGGCAGAGCTGTGACCTGTCCAGTGCTTCCCTCCAGGTTTTCTTGGTTGGCCCTCTGGCAAGGAATAGCCCCTCTGGATTGGCTCACCTGACATAGACACCGAAGATGCCCAGCTCTGAGATACATTGGACCACTCGGACAGGGCATCCAGGCCGTAGTAGGCAATTCCCAAAAGGCTCAGGCTCAATCTTCTCCATGAGGATGTAGGAGGCTCTCTCCTCGCTGTCTTTCAGCCGCTCCAGGGTCTGCACCATCTCCTCCCCGTATAGGTTGTTACCTGAAATTCCACTGGCCAGTCACCATGGACCCTGTGTCCACCTTTTCAACCCCGTTCCCCCACTTCTGGGGCTGTCTGGGCAATCGGCAGCCTCAGTTCCTGACACCAGCTCACTGAAGCCAGGGCAGGCCTGGCTCCCAAGGAGGAAAGGTCACCTTAACAAAAGAGTCTTGATTCACACAAGTGAACACACCTTCCCCACACCATCCTGCCCTGGTTCTCCTCCTACCTGTCTAGCTTTTACTTTTCAGCCTCTCTGACTGGCTACTGCCCCCCTTAAATGTTGGGATTTCCAAGGAATTAGTCCCCCCATCCTCATTCTCTCCTCCATGTACACACTTTTTTTTTATGGAAGATCTCTTCCAAGACTCCATCTATATTCTACAACTTGTTAACTTCCAAATCTTTAACTCAAGCTCCCTGCTCTAGACATCACATGAATATCCATTGGGTCCCGAAAACAAACTCAACATGTCCAAACAGAATACATTACTTCTGCCTGAACCTGCCCATCTTGGACCTTCCTACTCCCAATCAGGCAAAAGGTATTCCTGAGTCATATTTAACTCCTTCCTCTCCATTACCTCACCCATTCAGACATGTCTCTTCAGTCTGCACCCCACACTGTCACAGTGCTAGCCCAAGCCTCTACATTGCTCTTCTGGACACCTATGCCAGCCTCCTCTCTGGTCTTAAAACTCTAACGACATCCCACTACCCTTAGGAAAAATCCAATTTCCTGCATATAGTAAATGTCCTTTATAATTAGGTCCCAAACTACCTTTACCAGCTCAAAACCCTGCCTCCTACTTCCCATGCTGTACTCCAGCCTCACCGTAACTCATTAATCTCTCAACACTTTCATGGACCAGTGCTTTTGCTTAAGGTTGCTCCTTCTGTATGGTATGCTCTTCCCCATTTTCCACCTGGGAAACTCCTACCTATCTCCTAAGACTAAGATCAAAAACCATTTCCTCTCGTTCTGTGAGGCAGAAATGATCCCTGCCTTCAAGAAGTTCACACTAGGCAGGAAGACATCTAAAGTCCTGATATATCCCCATCCCACTTCCCCACAATCCACCCACAGACACCTCAGACTAAACTTGTCCAAACCCTCAAGTGCTGGTTAATTAGATTCCCCTGTGCTCCACAGCACTTGTCACAGAGTCTCCTGGGACACTGTCCAAGGTGAGAGCCTGTGTTCATAGCAAGTGCTGGTCAGCACTGGTGACAGTCTGCTAGACCCTTTTCCCTGAGCAGCCCAGAAAAGGGGGATCACATACCTCCACCTTCTCTCTGGGGCTTTAACACGAACCGGTTAGGAGCAGCAAGGGCCTCAGCGATGGCCTGGTCCCCTTCTTCACCCTGGTAGGAGGTAAGATAGCAGTCACTGGCAGTCTTTGGCCAAAGAGGCAGGAGGTGAGGTCCTGCTGGTTGGGCAGAGCAGCATCAGAGGAAGAGCATCAGGGAGAACGGTAAGCCCCTTTAGACCGGATGCATGTGGCCCCTCAAAAAGACTCCTGCAGCAGCAAGTACAAGAGAATAAGTTTTCTCTGGCAACAATTCAGGAGTCTGCAGCAGAAGATCTGGAAAGTGGGTACAGATATTCCCTAACCCTTGCTGTCTGCCTCAGCCTTTCCTCCGGTTACCATCCCCATCCATCTCCACCTTTGCTGAGAGAGTTTACAGTGGATTCTAGCTCCTCTCCCCAGGACAGAGCATCACTGACCCAAGTCCAGTCCAGTGCCAGCTCCAGCCTCCCCAACGCATTGAGCTCTGGGTCCCTATCATCTAAGAGGCCTGCGGTGGGAGAAATGGGCTGCCTACACACCAGATCCAGTGAGTACAGGCCAGCAAAGGTGGCACGGAGGCGGGCCACAACCTCAGGCTGGTCAGGGAGCAACACCTCCAGCACGCCCACTCTGCTCAGTTCCTGCTGCACCTTCTTAGTTCCAGCCAGCTGGGTGGCAATATCTGGGCACTTGACAGAACATGACCTCTCCAGCAGCAGGCGTGCTTCCCAGTTCTGCAAAGAGAAAACAAAAGGAATTCTACTTTATTTCACATCAGCTGTCCATTAAGTGCCAGGTATCGTGCTTTCTATTCTCATTCATTATCCCCAGGGTCACTGCAACATCCTTGTGAGGCAGGTGTGTCCCCTTCCAATCTGCAGAATTCTTGCCCTCAGGGAGCTCCCAGTCTAGCTCAATGATACATGACTATGATGAAAACGGAAAACATTAATGTGAGAGAGACACATTGATCGGTTCAATTGGTTGCCTCTCGGGGCCAGGGATCAAACCAGCAACCCAGGTACATGCCCTTGACCAGGAGTCAAACCCGAGACCCTTCAGTGTGCAGGCCAATGCTCTAACCATCGAGCAACACCAGCCAGGGCTCTCTCCCTGGAATTCTTTTCCAAAGGATGATTGAATCCTTCTTAATCTTAAGTCTGGCCTCAAAGTCATCTTTGCAAATCACCCTATTTAATGTGGGTTTCACCATAATTCTCTACTTTTTCATCCTGTTGTTTCATTCAAAGAGTTTCCCCCAACTAAAAGAAAAGCATTTTTTTCTATTTTTGTTTACTTTCTGGTGTCCATCTGCCTGACCAGATTGTGAGCTCCATGAGGACTGGTCCCTTGTTGTCTTTGTTTCCTGCCGTATCCCCAGTGTCTAACAGTTTCCTGCCTGGCACTTTGTAGGTTCTCAATAAGTATTTGTTATTGTTGTTTAATAAAATGAAATCTGAGTGACAGGTAGAGTTAGACAGGTGAGACTTAATAGGGAAGAAGTACTGTAAGTCCTCACTTAACACTGTCGATAGATTCTTAGAAACTGCAACTAAGTGAAACCAATTTTACCATAAGCTAATTGATATAAAGAGTTAAGTTCCTATGGCATATTTCTGGTCACAAAAATATCACCAAACTTCTAAATAAAGACCCAAACATTTCTATTATTAAAAACTGAAATAAAAGTGAGCTATACACACATTTAAGAAAGATTAATAAAAACAAAATAATGACTTTCCAACCCACTTAGTCCAACCCAGGGTTGCGGGTAGAGGAGCCTATCCCAGCAGCTCAGGGTGCCAGGCAGGAACCAAGCCTGAACATGATACAACCCCCCACTCCCTCCCCCACACACCCACTAGACTGGGACAATTCAGACCAGCCAGATCACCTAATGTGCACATCTTTGGGATGTGGGAGGAAACGAGTACCATGCAGACATGGGGAGAACATGCAAACTCCACAGAGACAGTGGCCCCGGCCAGAATCAATTGTTCCCCTCAATAACATTATAATGAAACAACATTATTCAAGGACTTGCTGTTCTCAGATTAACAGAATAATATGGGCAAAGGCCTATAGGTGGGTAATCACAAGATGAAAAGTCCAGTGTGTCAGGATTTTAGGGTGGGAGAGGCAGGGAAACAGCAGAAGGTCATGCCCACTCTAGTCCCATGCTCAAGCACTGGGGGGACAGTCTGTCCTTGACCCCAGACCACATCAGACTGCCCACAGGGGGATCAAGGCTATGGTCTGAGGAATAATGCCCTGCCTCCCTATCCTAACCCCACCTTTGCCCATGCTGTTCTTCCTTTGATATAATCATCCACCTGCAGTGGCTGATCTTCACCAATAACCCCAGGCACCTAACTACTAGGCTGGTATTCCAGGCAGAGTTACAGGTGCCCAGAACATCAGAAATAAACCCAGATAAGTACCATTATATTAGAAGCAGGGAAAGCAAAACTCAGAGATGAGCAGGGGCTTGTCCATGGTCCATTAGCAAGTCACTAAGCCTTGCAGACTTATCTCCATGTTCTAAACCTGGTCTGAACTTCTCAGTTCCTTAAAAATGTCCTCCTTATGCACTAATTTCCTTCCTTATTAGCTCCACTTCTCTCTTTTTAAAGTTTTATTTGGTTCTTTCCCCCAAACCTTCTGTCCTGGAACCTGGATCCATTTTCTAAATGGATAGCTTCTCACTTCCCTAGTCAGTGAGTTCCCACCATTGCTAACCACAGGACCTCCTGTAGAGCTGCTCCCTTTACACCTGGGCTTAGGGAGAATCCCATATTCAAAGAACAATAGATATAGAAGGAGCTCTCTCAATTTTCTAGTGTAGTTCCCTCAGCTTACTGACCAGAAAGGGTCAGGAACCTACCCGTGGGCACACAGAGGCAGAGCCAAAGGCTCATGACCCCTAATGATATTTCCTAACTTATTGTTTCCTTTACCTTCTCCCCACTGAAAGCAAGGCTTTTTAGCCTTTCCATGCTGTAGATTAGGGGTAGGGGAATGATATACTGGGAATGTCATTGGATTGAGAGTCACAAAGCCTGGGAACTCCCGGTGGGACCTTTGGCAAGCCTTGCATCTCTCCAAACCTTGGTTTCTCCTTTTGTATAATGGGAATACCTATATGCCTCACAGGGTGGTTGTAAGGATTCACTGAAATAATGGATGTGGAAAGTAATTTTGAAACTACATAGTAGGGATAACAAGATAAGGTGATCTCATTACTGTCATTAACAAGAATGGGCAGGTGATATAAACTCTCGGATGCATAAAAAAGAGTGGTAAGTTGGCAGGAAGGAAATGGTCAGTGGTGTGGTAAAACTGGTTTGCATCAGCTTGTAAGAGCTGACTGTACCCATCTCTTCCTAACTCTGTGTTTAGAGATGTTAAATTGGGTAGCTTGAAATTGGCCATGATGGGGAGAATTTACACAATACAAGTCAGCAAATGCTACAAATTACTTTCCCTTCAGAAAGATGATTGTTAAACACTACCAGCATATCCCCAGAAACAGTGTGAATGGCTAAAGCACTGTGGATTCCTGAGGACTCAGAATCTAGAATTCAGTGTTTGTAGAGAGTGAGAGGTAGCAAAAAGCTTATAGGATTGGAGGTTCCAGCAGCAAGTTCCCTGAGGAAGTAATGAATCCAAAGCTCAGGGAAAACACGGTTTGTCGTGACACCTGAGTTGGGTCTCTGAGGAGTAATCGTAGGTCCCCAGAGGCCAAGAATAGTTGAACAGAAAATACCAACCTGTTGATTGTACTGACTCGGCATGTAGCCATCCCGGAAGTAAACCACAGCAATTTCCTGGCCATCCCTAGAACACAGGATGGAGAAAGCTGTTGTGTTAAATTATAACTGAAGTTTTCAGTAGTTCGATCTATTTCAGGGCACATCAAAATGAGTTTGGCTACTTTGAAAGTCCACAGGGGCAGCCTAGACAGGGGTTCATTGGAACCAGTGAGAGTAGATACCATACCACTACTGCTTCTACTAAAAACATGGAGGTGTTAAAAACAACAACAACAAAAATATGGAGGTGTCCAGAAAAGAATGCTTTAGGATATTCCAGATCTAGAATCATTCTAGGAAGGCCAGAGGGAAACTAGAATCAAATTAGGTAAATTTTTTAAAAATTGGGCTTAAAATTACTGAGCAGCAGTAATGCACTTGTGTTTACTGTGTAAACAAGTTGAAAACAGGCTGAGATTTTTTTTTTTAAATAGTGGGAGTGATGGTAGGGAGATGTAAAATTATGAGTCTAGTTAAGACACAGGCTGTCTTTTGAACTTTCCCCCCTTTCTTTGGTTTATTTAGTATTTTCTGGTTATGCCCTGGCTGGGTAGCTCAGTTGTTTGGAGCAGCTTTGCAATACACCAAGGTTGCTGGTTTGATCCCCAGTCAGGACATATACAAGAGTCAACCAATGAATGCATAAATAAGTGGAACGACTATTTGTTATCTCTTCCCCTCTGTCTAAAAATCAATCAATCAATAAAATTTAAAAAAAAATTTCTGGTTTATCTGGAAAGTAAATTAATGACTTTATTTTGTTATGATAAAAGTACATTTTGAAAGTAGTAAATGGTATTGTGAAATTCCATGGAGGTTCTTAATTTTAAGAATTATAAAGTTCCAGATCTAAATATGTGTGCTGTAAGCAATACTAGACAAAAATGTACTAAAGTCATCAGGTGGTGGCTTAGAGCACAGACCCAGCCCTTGAGGTCTTCCTGAGCTAAGAGCAGGTCCCAGATCAATCACAGAATAAGACAGCTACTCATCTTCCTCCCTGACTGCCCAGCCCAACTGCTGAGGCCTGACTTAACTAGCCACCAAGAGGGACAAGAAAATTTTGGGGTGCCCTAGTCAGTTTGGCTCAGTGGATAGAGCATCAGCCTGTGGATTGAAGGGTCTCAGGCTTGATTCAGGTCAAGTGCCCGGGTTGCGGGCTCAATCCCCAGTAGGGGGCATGCAGGAGACAGCCACTCAATGATTCGCTCTCATTATTGATATTTCTATCTCTCCCTTTCCCTTCCTCTCTGAAATCAATAAAAAAAAATTAAAGGGAAAAAATGAAAAATTTGGGAGCCTAAGGGTATATGAAAACCAAGGTTATTTTAAGAAGGCCGTTATCTAGAATGTCAACAGTGCTGATATAGCCCTTTAGAAGCAGAACTTGGCTAGCCTTCTCCAAAATTTCCTGGAATGATGGGATATTTCAGAGTTCACCACTAAAATTTAGAAAGAAGGAAGCAAGCTATCATTTCTCCCAGAAGAAAGGATCATTTGGGGGAAGTGGGTGAAAGGACGAGTTTCCATAACCAGTCCTCTATTGGATCCTTGGGGAATGCACCCTGAACACTTACAAAAACAGCTTTCGGTCTTGGTCCAAAGATCCCTTTTCAGAGACATCTTCAAACCTTCGCCGGATCACACGAATGTTCCTGGGAAAGATGGGCAAGGGTCATGGGGAGTGGACGCTCTGGTCTGTGTGCTTGCCCCAATCCTGGGGCTATATCTGGAGGTCTTCCCCGCCTTTCCTTACCTGGCCAGTAGCTCATTCTCTATGGCACGCTGGTCAAATACGTTCCTTTCCTTCTCCTGAGCAATCAGTAGCACCAGAGCTCTGGAGGAAGAGCACAGGGGGCCCATCGTGCTTATCCTCCCTCCACACCACCCCCTTCAGGAGTGAGAATGACAGCACAGCTTCCCTGAACCAGATATTCTCTCCACTCAGGACTGCCTCAGGCATAGATACCCTAGGCTACAATGTATTATTTCCTGAAAATAGGAAACTTGAAAAAATAAAGGTGTCTATGCCCCTTCTCTAATAGGCAGGTGAAATATTGCAACGATCTGCAATTTTTGTGCAAATTTAAAACACCTCAAAAACCCAAGAGGACTTTTTCTTAAAATTTTACATAAGCCCTAGCCGGTTTGGCTCAGTGGACAGAGCGTTGGTCTGCGGACTGAAGGGTCCCAGGTTCAATTCCGGTCAAGGGCACATGCCCAGGTTTTGGGCTTGATCCCCAGTCGGGGGCATGCAGGAGGCAGCTGATCAATGATTCTCTCTCATCATTGTTGTTTCTATCTCTCTCTCTCCCACTCCCTTCCTCTCTGAAATCAATACATATATATATATTTAAAAAACAAACAAACAAAAAAAACTTTACATAATTCTAAAATCTTTCTGAACAATAAACAGGTAAGAGTACTAAAGAATATTTTATACAGAACAATGCTGGGGGTTGGGGCTAATAGCCCTATTACTAGATTGCAAAGATATAATAAAAGAGTTTGTGATTCTTACATGAAACATTAGAATAGCTAATGGAATCCTATAGGAACCCTATAGCACCAACTATAACTAAGGGATTATCTCCCAACATTTCTGTGATGTACCCAAGGATATTTTTTTCCATTGATTTTTTAGAGAGAGAGGAAAGGGGATAGGAAGGAGAGAGAGAGAGAGAGAAATGTGAGAGAGACACATCAATTGATTGCCTCCCACATGTGCCCCTACTGGGGCTGGGGATCGAACCTGCAACCCAGATATGCACCCACGACAAGGAATTGAACCTGCAACCCTTTGGTGTGTGCTCTAACCACTGAGAACACTGGCCAGGGCCACTTTGATTCCACAGTATTAATGGAATCATTGGGGCTCACCTGGTCTCTTACTCCCTGCGTATTCACATGTTTCTTAAAGAAAAAGGAGCTCAAGGACTCAGGGAAAAGCTAATGCCAGACAACTGCCTGTTTGGCTACCAACCGATCTGTTTTCAGTTGTCAAAGGCAGATCCAGCCCCCACAAGACTCTCTTAAGGCCAATGCTCAGCAGCACCCAACTCCGATTTTGCTGTAGCTGTACTGCTCTGTGCCCTTGGTTTCTTGCTGAGACTATTGGATGGCCAGACTTTGGCTCAGGATTCTAAGTGTGGATTCCTGACCTCCTGTACTTGGCTTCTTGTCTGTCTCTACATCTTCCTACTGAGCAGAACCTTTGGGACTACACTCTGCCTGCCTCTTTTCCATTTAGCCTAAATACAGGTCCTAGTATGCAGCCTCTCCTGGCCTGCCTGAAATCTCTTGAGGTAAGACATGACATTAAGCTGAGCCTTGGCTTTGAGTTGGGTATCTGTGAGACAAGCTACAAATGGTGCTTCCACAAGCCGTACTGCTCTGAGAGAGTCCTGAGGGACAATGGCTTGCTTTCCACTTTGCAGCTTGATCTGCTCCCGGGTGCAAAGGTGGTACCTGGCCCACCTCTAAGAGGCAGAGGAGGAAGGCTGGAAGCTGAGGTTAACTATATGCCTTGGTTAATGAAGTCAGCCTGCTCCCTGCTAAATAATCAGAGCCAGACTCAGAAAACATATTATCCTCCTCCTCCCTTCAGTCTGAGCAGTCCACCAGGAGGACTAGAAAAGTTGTCAGCTAAGGAAAGTGAAGTGGCAGTAACATGCTAGCTGGGAGTGAAGACTCCTGAATCCCAGGCCTCGCTCTGTCAGTGACCTCGGTATCACTTGTCCTTGGGCAAATCGGTTTCTTTCCTTAAGCCCTGACTTCCCCATCTATAAAATAAGGATGTTGAATAGATCATAGTTCCCAACCTTTTATACAAGAATCTCCTTTCTTATCTTTGCTCATTCCAATCACAGATACTATATTTTGAAAGAGCTAAATGTCTAAATTGAAATCATAATTTTCCATGTTTCCTTTAAAAATATTCTTACAAGTATGAGATAATTAATGAAAATTCATCTGCTGTACAAATGCTGGAGCCTCAGTTTTTCAATCGATACTATGGCACCACTCCTTTTGGAGGCAGAACAATGTAGTAGAGAGAACACAGGCTTTAGAGGCAGATAGACATGAATTCTAAACTTAGTAGAGGCCCAATGCATGAATTCATGCATGGGTGGGGTCCCTTAGCCTGGCCTGATTGGGGCAGGCCGGCTGGGGGGAGGGACTGCGGGAGGTTGGCTGTGGGAGCACACTGACCACCAGGGGGCAGCTCCTGCGTTGAGTGTCTGCCCCCTGGTGGTCAGTGCACGTCATAGCTACTGGCCAGTTGTTTGGTCTTAATGGTCGCTTAGGCTTTTATATATATAGATTAGAGGCCCGGTGCACGAAATTTGTGCGGGGCTGAGGGACTCCCCCCGCCACACCCTCTTTAATCTGGGACCCCTTGGGGAATATCCGACTGCCAGTTTGGGCCTAAACCAGCAGTTGGACATCCCTCTTGCAATCTGGGACCAGTGGCTCCTAACCGCTCACCTGCCTGCCTGCCTGATGCCCCTAACTGTTCCCCTGCCTGCCTGATCATCCCTAATCGCCTCTGCCTGTGTGCCTGATCGCCCCTAACTTCTCTGTCTGCCTCCCTACCGGCCTGATCGCCCCTAACTGCTTCTGCCTTGGCCCCGCCACCATGGCTTTATCCGGAAGGACATCCAGAAGGCTGTCCGGAAGATGTCCGGTCTAATTAGCATATTACCCTTTTATTAGTATAGATTAGCTGTGTGATTTTGGGCAAGTTCTTCAAAGCCCTCAGTTTGCTCTTCTGTAAAATAAAACTAATACTTCTTAAAAGGTAGTTATTATTATTAATATTAAAAGTATCACATAATGATCCTTGAGCTTTTAAAAGAATTTTTCAAATCCATGATTTCATTTAATTCTCTCTACCACTCTTTTAGGTATTATCATTACCCTCATTTTACAAATGAAACTGATGCCTACAGAAAAGAACAGACTTAGCAAAGGTCATTGCTGGATCAGCAGAAATACCTATTTGACTCTCAAAATGAGGGAAACCAGTCCTGGCTCTGATACTCCATAGCTCCTACCCACCAGCCCCTAATTTTGGGTGCACAAGTCTTCTCTCTACATGTTACTTACAGCTGGGCTGGAAAACCTCTCTGCACCAGTGGTCCATCAGCAGTTCCCCAGCTGATCCATCTCCTGGCTTCACTCTCTTAAAATACAAACTAGCCATTGCCCTAGCTGGTTTTTCTCAGTGGTTAGAGCATCAGTCTGTGGATTGAAGGGTTGTGAGTTTGATTCTGGTCAAGGGCATGTACCTCAGTTGCAGGCTCAGCTCCACCCAGGTTGGGGCATGTGTAGGAGGCAACCAATCGATGTGTCTCTCTCACATCAATGTTTCTCTCGCTCTGTCTCTCCCCCTCCCTTCCATTTTCTCTAAAAAATCAATGGAAAAAATATCGTTGGGTGAGGACTAACAACAATAAAAAATACAACCTAGCCTAGAGTTCTACCTGACAAAATATTCATCTGACGACTTCTAAATGTTCAGAGTCACCCTAGCCAGTTTGACTCAGTGGATAGAGCGTTGGCCTGCAGAGTGAAGGGTCCCGGTTTCAATTCTGGTCAAGGGCACATGCCCAGGTCGAAGGCTCTGTCCCCAGAAGGGGGCGTGCAGGAGGCAGCCGATCAATAAATTTCTCTCGATGTTTCTTTCTCTCCCTCTCCCTTCCTCTCTGAAATCAATAAAAACAAAACAAAACAAAAACTCAGTTCGAGGTTTCTTGGGTTAGTGAGGTTTAGCAAACCCAGAGAAGCTCTCTGGGAGGCAATGAAGTGCTCATGAATGTCAGTTCTGGAGGAAGGTGGACTCTGGGCTCTACTACCAACTCACACTTTGACTTTGAACAGTTTACTTAATTTCTCTGAACCTCACTTTCTTCATCTGCAAAACCGGGGAGAGGAAGAGTATCTACCTTGGAGTGTTTGATTTGAGGATTCAGTGAGATCTTGTATGCAAAGTGCTTAGCACAAAGTATGGCACCAGTGAGAGCTCACTCAGAATTAACTACTAATGCTTTATTAATATTGCAATAACTGTTAGTACAGTGGCCCCTCACTTATCAGGGAGTCACTTACCTAGCATCTTCACACACTTAGAACATGGTTGAGAAATAGGAAGGAAGTAAAAACTGCCTCTAAGAAATTAAAATACACTATAAAATCCCTAAATCAAAGCTTATGCATTCATTCATCAAAGAGGTTCTCACACTCAATAGACATTTGCTTTCCCAAACCACAGCAAATAAAAAAGGAGGTATAGGCATGGGAGTGGAGGATTCCAAATTCAAGCACGCTGGCAAAAAAACTATGAAGGAAAAGAACGAGAGCTTAGAGCCTCAGAGTTGGGGCCATTAGTGCAGGCAAACAGCCTCGCAGCCTTTATAACTCTAGGCAGCACCTCACTGACCATCATAATGATGACCCCGAGCCTACATGGAAAGATTAAATTATAGTTAGCATCTCTTATTTGGGAAGAAAGCCCAAAATTATTTGGGCTCTTAAAGTGTTAAGCTTTTCTATTCCTAGAACAATTCACTCATTCCCTAATGATGTCAGGCAAAGAGGTTGCTATACCCATAAATGCTGAATCTAAAGCAGGATTCTTCTGCCACTTTTCCTCCCCCTTACTTGGCTGAGCCGTAGAGCTCCCAGGCTTTGGCGATCCCCAGGGCCAGTCCCTTGCTGGGATTATTGGAGAGGATCCTGGCAGCTTCTTTGGTCTTACCCAGGACATTGAGAACATGTCTGTTGGAGGAGAGATGTCTGTTCAGTAATTGAATGGACCTGAAAGACGCCTATGCCTGAGATTCAGACACTTATAGGAACATCACTTTGAGAATCAGCTGAGCATTAAAAAACACCTTACCATCATATTCCTGTAGGATCCACCTTAGGCTAGAACATGTGGGCTACCTTTACCCTAGCTCCTGGTATATATGCACAGAGAAGCCCCGAGACCCTGTGAGCTCCCAATGAGCTGGAACCCCTTTCCCTGATCCCCAGGTACTGTCTGGAACCCTGCTGTAGACCCTCTGGAAGTACAGCAACCTGGAGCTTCACTGCTAGCTAGAATTAAATGCCATCCCTCAGATGGGAAACCTGTGTCTCTCTCTGCCTTGGAACAGACAGATACTGTTGCCTCTGCCTGGAATACTAACTTGTACAATAAGGGGGTAGGACTAGATGAACTGTGAGGTCCCTTCTTTACCTGAAATGCCAAGACCTAATTACAAGTGGAAACTGCTGTGGGGAGGGATGACACATGACCCAGGGCCCAGGAAGGCATAGTCAGAGTTGGAGAATTGGAAATCCCTGTCCCCGCCTGTGACTGTAGGCTCATCAGGCTGTCACCTACTGGTGTGCCCAGGGCTGCCCAAGGGACCCACCGGTGCACAGCTGGGGTCCGGGAGGCCAGGCCCCCAAAACTGGCAGAGATGGTGTTGATTTCAATCTGTTTCAGGGCTGGGGAGCCATCTGCGTTGCGCTGGAACATGTAGTCTGAGCGATTCAGGCCCAGGAACACAGTCTGTGGGGAAAACTGAAGGCTGAGGACATTTGCCCAGGGGCTGACTCTGAGGGCTTAGCCACGGAGCAGACAGGCACCACGAACACTACATAGAGATTAGAGGCACTGGCTAACACTCCCAAACACAGCAGAATCGTTGTTTTGGTCATCCCAGGATTGGCCAGTGATGTACAAATCCAGTGGAGACAATGAGTTTAGGGCCTGGGATAATTTCTTTGGTTAAAAAAAAAAGGAGGGTCAGGTCCCAGACGGGTGGAGTAGAGAATGTTTACCTGGGCAATGCCCTCTTTCAGGACTTGCTTGTAGATATCAAAGAGACGAGCAGTAAAGGTGTCCCTTTTGATGGTGCTGGAGGAGGAAACAGAACATTTTCTAGGTTACATGGCATCTTAAAGGTCAAGGAGTTCCACCCCGTCCATTGATTCTTGAATCCTCTCTGGGTTGTATTGGCCCAAACCTGAACACCTGCCAGAAAATAGTGGTTTAGAACCCAGCTCTAGAGCCAGATGACCTGGGTTCAAATCCTAGCTCTACCACTTACTAGTAGGCAACCTTAGAGAATCATTTTACCTCTCTGTGACTGTTTGCTTAACTGTAAAATGAAGAGGAAAACAATTATATTTCCGTCACAGTGTTGTGGTAAAGAGTAGAGAAGATATTACATGTACAGAACTGAACACAGTATCTGGTCCCAAGAACCAGAAAATGGCATGTGATATAACCATTCTGTACTTAAGTAGCTCTGATGACTATAAGCTTTCTGACTGACTTCACATTCACTCTCTGTAGTTTCCCCTACACTTTGAGGCCTCCCAGACAAGTCTTCTCTTCCTCTTCCATGCTGTCCTCAGAGATTGGAAGACAGCAGTTATGTCCTGTGCCCCAATAGGAGTTTTCTGACGCAAGCCAAGTATCCTGTTTTTCTCTTCGACCTGTCCTCATGTGCTGTGATTTCCTCAAGCCTTCCCTGTCTGGGTCAGCTCCCCCTGCTGTGTGCTTTCATGGTACTGTGGGCCTCTCTTTTATAGCCCTGATTGCAGCTGCAATTTTCCACTTTATTTGTGTGATGGTTAGCGTTGTCTCTCCTGTTTGCCTATAAACCACATAAGGGTAGAGACCGTGTCTGCTGGCTCATCATCATGGCCCAGGGTGCTGTTGTGACACATGGTGGGAGCCCATCCAGTATGGTTTTCTGGAGCCTCAGGAGAGGCATCCACAGGTAACTAATGCCACACCTGTTGTCCCTCAAGATTCAGGGTGGTCTCTGCATGCCTGCTCAACCCTGACTCGCAGGCTCACCTTGTTACAGCGACCGCCGAGCCCAGAGGCTCAGGCCTGCCCTGAAGTTCCTCTGCTCCGCAGCCAGCTCCCTCATAGGGTTTCCCAGCCCCTGGTGAGGAGTAGAGTCCCCAGCTGGGCTTCAGCCTCCTGGAAAGTTGAGACACATTTTCCCTCTTCCAAAGAGGTGCTTCCCTCAAACCTAGACCCTAGGGGGCTAGCTCACATGTTCCTGGGGCTCTTCTCCATTACAAGCTAGGGATTGTGTGCATTTCAGAGAAGGGAACAGGGATTTCAGAGACAGGCTGCAGAGAAGGTCTCCCACATAATAGCATCTTTAGGGTAAAGGTCATAAATCAGACTGGTCACATTTCCCACATTCCAGGATCAGAGGTGGTAGAGTTTACACATTCATGATTCATTGTGTTTTTAGCTCCATTGTGTTTTAGTTTCCAAGCTTCTTACCATTATGATCCTTTGTCATATTCACCCTCACACCAATGTACACATTTTTAAAATATTTCATCTCTAACAAAATAACTGTTTTCTTTTGAAAAACTAATCAGACATGCAATTACATATGTCTAGTCTCTCTCTCTCTCTCTCTCTCTCTCTCTCTTCCTCTCTCTCTCTCTCTCTCCCTCCCTCCCTCCCTCCACACAAACATTTATATATATTTAATTCTAAAATAAGAATGTAATTCTAAAGTAATTTCCCTTGCCCAAGGACCTGAAGGAAAACTAAATCAAAAGAAAAGAGATAGAAAGGGGTGGATGAAGTAAGTCATTTCAGGTGTTCTGTATTTTCGTTGCTCAGTCTGTGCCTCATCCCACCCAGAGAGGCCTTGAAGCAATAAGGGTCACTCAGGAGAAGAAGTAGATTTGACTTTAAACTCAATAACCTCACTTGCCCTCTATTTTCTCTAAAACCAAGCTGATCTTCTCTAATTCCAAATGGAAATTTCAGTCTCTTCAAAGAAGGTGGTCACAGATCAGAGAATCACAGAATGTCAGGGTTTAAAAGGACCAACCTCCCCATTCTACAGATGAAGAAACTGAGGCCCAGAAAAAGAAAGGGACTTGGTTGAGGCCATGTTTTTAAATAAATGGTAGAGCCAGGATTAGAAGCCAGATCTCCTGACTTCTACTACATTCGTTTCTCCGGGGGGGGGAGGTGTGGGGGGAAGGGTGCTTGTATCCCACTCTACCAAGTCAGATGCCAGAGCAACACCTCATGGCTTTCCAGTCTTCCAGTCCCTTCTAGCAATTCCCAGCCCCCCAGTGTCCCACCACCTAGTACCTAGAAAGAGTTTGCTCCAGAAAGGCAGCATTCTGGCTGACGGCATCCACCAGCAGGTTGAAGTCCATCTGCACAGCATAGGCCTGCTCCAGCAGAGCACTGGGGACCAGTGAGGGGAACAGCGTGAATGGGGCATAGCTCACCACCTGATGGAGGAGAGAGAGTGGGCAGGGGTAGAACACCTGTGAATGTGTTGTCTTCCTGTAAACATAACCTATGGAAAGTGTGGCCTACATTTATTGAGGACACACATACTGCAGAATAGAGGTTACCTCTGGGAATAGAGGGAGGAGAACAGGATGAAGAAGGGGTACAAAGATAACTTCTAGACTGTAATATCTTATCCATTTACATCAAAAAAATAGAAAAAGAAAAATAGCCAACAACAACAAAAACCCACGAAAAATTACTGCACATTAACTGTTGCAAGGCACTATTTTGGTTTTTTTTGTTTATTTGTTTTTGTTAATCCTCACCAGGGGGGGTATTTTTTTCCCATTGATTTTTTAGAGAGGGTAGAAGGGAGGGAGGGAGGGGGAGAGAGAGAAACATTGATGTGAGAGAGACACATCAATTGGTTGCCTTCCACTCAGGCCCTGACCCAGGCTGGGGATGGAACCTGCAACACAGGTATGTGCCCTTGACTGGGAATTCTACCTGCAACCTTCTGGTGTGTGGGCCGACACTCTAACCACTGAGCACATCAGCCAAGGCACAAGGCATGTTTTAAATACTTTACATGGATTCATCATTTAACCTTATGAGGAAGATACTATTATTATATATACTTAATAAAAAGAAACTGAGTCTCAGAGAGGCTCAGTATGGAGTCCAAAATTATATTAAGCTGTTACGTGGCACTGGGATTTGAGCCAGGATGGTTACACACACACACACACACACACACACACACACACACACACAGCTCCTAGCCAGCTGATATCCAAGACTAGGCCAATCCCCTTGCCTTCTGGTTAGGGGAGGGGGAGAGGGAGGCGTCCTGATGGTAAGGCTGCAGCAGAAGTGAACTGGCTCCAGGGGTCGTTTCCCCCTCAGTGTTGGAGATGGTGACTCAGGTTGCCAGGCCTGGAGTTCAGCCACATTTTCAATTCTTTGAACCTCGGGAGAGCCAGGAAACCCATCGAGAACACGATTTCTAGAAGGGGATCATGCATTCTGAGATTCCTAGCAACAAATGAGCTAGAATTTGGGTAGGAGATGATCTGGTGACTTATTTATGAAACATTTCAGAGTTTAACCTATGAGTTAACATCAGTTTGCAATTATGGTAATACCCATAAATGGTATTAGAACTCGGCATTTAAATATTCACTTTTAAAATAGTATTTTGAATAGATAATACAAACACATGACACAAAATGCAAAAGAGACAGAAGGATACATAGTGAAAAATACGTCTCACTCTCACCCTGGCCCCAATGAACCAGTTCTCCTTCCCAGAGGCAAATGATATAGTGGGATCTCACATATCCTTTTAGACCAGCGGTTCTCAACCTGTGGGTCGCGACCCCTTTGGCGGTCGAACGACCCTTTCACAGGGGTCGCCTAAGACCATCCTGCATATCAGATATTTGCATTATGATTCATCACAGTAGCAACATTACAGTTATGAAGTAGCAACGAAAATAATTTTATGGTTGGGTCACAACATGAGGAACTGTATTTAAAGGGCCAGAAGGTTGAGAACCACTGTTTTAGACTAATGTATCTGTGTATATACACATTTTCTCTTTTTTCACACACATCAAAGCATATGATACATACATTGTTCTTTGCTTTATAAATGCTTCAGAGACATTTCCATATACTTTCAAATAGAGCACTTTCATTCTTTTTAATGGCTGTGCAATATTCCATTCTTTGGCTATAGCACAATTCATTGAATCTAGCCTTCTATTATGAACATTTAGATGGTTTCCTTTTTCCCACCATTACAATCATTGCTTCAGTGAATATCCTAGAATATACATTCTAGGTATTTTGTGTGTGAGAAGGTAAGTTTCTAAAAGTGGAAATGTCAGGTTATTAGGGTAAATCCATTTAAAATTTTGGTAAATAATTCCCAAATTGCCCTCCTCAGCATCTATTTTTTTGTTGTTGTTAAATCTCAACTGAGGATAGTTTTTCCATTGATTTTTTAGAGAAAGTGGAAGGGTGGGGGGAGGAGAGGGGGGAGAGAGAGAGAGAGAGAGAAACATCGATGTGAGAGAGACACATTGATTAGTTGCCTCTCACATGCACCTCGGCCAGAGCCTGGGATCAGCCTGCAACCCAGGCATGTTCCCTTGACTGGGAATCCAACCTGCAACCCTTTGGTGGGAGGGCCTACTCTCTAACCACTGAGCAACAGCAGCCATGGGTCAGCATCTATTTTAAAATAAAACTGGGGAAGTGTATTTGTGAGAGTGAGTTCTTTCAGCTTGAAGCTTTTATGAGTGTGAATTACTAAAGATTATAGGGGAGGTGACCTAATCCCGAGTGCTTGTGTGCTGACTACGAGGGCATTTCCTTGGCTTTAATACGTAGAACTCTGCCTCTTCCAACAAATCCCATTTGGCCTGAAAAACACCCCAGAAGTTTTTCTGCGAAGACTTCCCTCTGCCTCTGTCCCCAGGTCTCATGCCCACTTGAATTTGAAATCAATAGCATATAGCTATTCTTCATAACAGCTGAAACATTATCTTTGTACATTTTTTTCCGATTTTTTAATTGATCTTTTGAGTTAGAGGAAGAGAGAGGGAGAGAGAGCGAGAGAAACATCAATGTGAGAGTGGAACATCGATTGGCTGCCTCCTGAAAGCAGCCCACCAGAGATTAAGCCGGAAACCCGGGCATATGCCCTGACCAGAAATTGAACCAGCAATCTTTGGGTGCCGGGGACACACTCAACCAACTGAGCCACACCGACCAGGACACAGTCTGTATACTTTTGATAGAAACACAGAAACAGAGTAATATTCTTCTACCATTAGAAAAACTATAGCACATACCTGACAGTAAACACTCTGCTTTATAGTGAGGGAAACAACAGAGAGTGATGGGAAGAAGTAAGAAGTCCCCTCTACCTAAAGGGGCTGTCGGACCCTAGCCAGTTTGGCTCAGTGGATAGAGTGTTGGCCTGCAGACTGAAGGGTCCTGGGTTTGATTCCGATCAAGGGAACATCCCCGAGTTGTGGGCTCAATCCCCAGTGTGGGGTGTGCAGGAGGCAGCCGATCAATGATTCTCTCTCATCATTGATGTTTCTATCTCTCCCTTCCTCTCTGAAAGAAAAAAATATATATTTAAAAAAAAAATAAAAAATAAAGGGGCTGTCAGAACTCTGCTCTCACCAATTGTTGGTATGCAGGAAAGTGGGCCAGAGTTAACGGCTGATCTGATTTTTCAAGACAAGCTGGGTATCTAGATTTTTTTAAAAACTTCATGATTTAAAAAAATGTTGGCTCTGACTTTTCAAAGACACTCTGGTTAAACATACACACACACACACACACACACACACACACACACACACACTAAATAATGCTTGCCCCTGGGCAGGGAAACAGTAGCTGGAGAAGACATTCTATACTAAATATCCTTTTGGACTTTGTACCCTGTTCAAGTGTACTTTTTAAAAATTAATTAACTCCCTAAACACTGCAGGAGCCAACTATTCAGTCTGCACACAATTGGCTTGTGACCCTGATCTACAAAGTTCCGACTCTTCTCCCACCCATTATGCAAAGCCCCTTGGCTAGCTGACTTTGGCCTGCCTTCTTTTTCCTGCATTGGAGCTTCTGCTATGCTGTTCCATTCCCACATTTGTCTTTTAACAAACTATAGAAATGATCCCTGAAAGTGTAATCTTCCATTTGTCTTTTAAGATCTAGTTCAAATGCCACTAACGAATTGCTCCTTCCTCCAGGTGGCCTCTACAGTATCCTGGGAGAGGCAGTAAAGCATGGAAGCTCAGAGCATAGATTCAGGAGGCAAACGCCTTGGGTTTGAATCCTGGCTCTGTCAATTACACCCCCACTTAATGACGAGGAGCAAGTTACTTAGCCTCTCTGGGCCTTGGTTTCCTCATCTCAGTTGTGGTGAGGATTAAATGGATCAATGATTCCAAAGTGAAAAGGATACTTCCTGTCTTTTTCTCTGGATTGGGAAATTGAGGACTGTGCCTTTTCTAGGTTCCATTAACTTCCAGAAAGACCTAGTCTTGGACTTTCACACAATACCTGTTGATTAACAGAAGAAATAAAATCTTGGAAGAGAAGTGCTACATCCTGTTTCAGACAAATAGTTGACAAAATCTCAGATTCACAAACCAAGCAATGATATTCCTAAAGCCAGAGGCACACCTTCCACAGTATCAGCCTACCTTTAGTGACAGCCATTCTAACGCGCTCGGGTCTTTCATATATCGACCATAGAGAAGCACTCATGGTGCCCAAACAGCAAACACTTATTGAGTTTGAACTGCCCACCAGCCCTCTAACTAGGTTCTGGACACAGAGAGACAAAAGAGTGTTTTGGTAAAAATGATGATGGCATCTCTTTAGTTACCAATCTGGATAGTCATAAGTATAATGTTAAGTAAAAAAGTAAAGTACAGAAGAGCTTGTCTAGTTTGCTTCTTTGTATAAAAAGTGGGGGAAAGGAATATATACATTTTTCTCTTTATGAATAAGCTATCTGAAAAAAATAAACAAGAATAAATGTTTTGTTTATAAAACATAGGTTACCATCAGGGCAGGAGAACTGGACAGCTAGGGAATATGGAAGGAAGAGTTAAACTGTAAACTCTTATAGTCTTAAAAGTTTTGCCGAAACCGGTTTGGCTCAGTGGATAGAGCGTCGGCCTGCGGACTGAAAGGTCCCAGGTTCGATTCCGGTCAAGGGCATGTACCTGGGTTGCGGGCACATCCCCAGTAGGAGAAGTGCAGGAGGCAGCTGATCGATGTGTCTCTCTCATCGATGTTTCTAACTCTCTATCTCTCTCTCCCTTCCTCTCTGTAAAAAATCAATAAAATATATTTAAAAAAATAATAATAATAAAAAATTATAGTCTTAAAAGTTTTATTTATTTTTTTTAAAAAAAATACGTTTTTATTGATTTTAGAGAGAGAGGAAAGAAGAGGGAGAGAGAGAAGTATTGATGAGGGAGAACCATCGATTAGCTACCTCCTTGCACACCCCCTACTGGGGATTGAGCCCAAAACCTGGGCATGTGCCCTGACCAGAAATTGAACCAGCAACTCCAACCAACTGAACCACACCAGCCAGGGCTCCTTTAAATTCTGAAGCATGAAAATGTCTTATCTAGTCACAAAATGAAAAGGTTTTTTATTTTTTAAGGATGATATTTTTTTAAAAGATGTGGTTTGGACTTAGCAATTCTACTTTTATATATTAATCATAGAGAGACACTCATATAGGTGTCCAAACAGGCATATACAGGGATAGTCCCAGTAGTGCTATGTGTAGTCATAAAACATTGGAAATCACCTAAATAGTCACCAGTAGAAAAAAGTTAAACTGTGATTCATCCACACCTAATACTATACATTAGAATGAAGCTGATCCTAATGGAGGAAGTTGAGTTCTAAAACAGATTGCTAAATGAAAAACAAACAAAATCGTGTCACAGAGTAATATGTATGATCTATCTTATTTGTAAAAACAAAAAAAAAACAAAACCAACACTATACAGCCTTGGCCCGTGTGGCTCATGCACTGAAAGGGTGACGGTTTGATTCCTGGTCAGGGCTCGATCCCAGGTAGAGGCAGCTGACTGATGTTTCCCTCTCACATAGATGTTTCTCTCTCTTTCCCTTCCTTTCCCTCTAAAGACCAATAAAAAATCTTAAAAAAACAAACCAACTATACGGGGGGTGGGTGGAGGTGGGCAAAGGGGGCAGGGGTGGGAAATGGAGGACATCTGCAACAGCATCAACAATAAAAAAAAAACTGTCTTAAAAATAACCCTATGTATTTCTTTATAAACATATACATGTGTATAAATGCACAGAGAAAGACCTGGAAGGATGTACTACTAACCAACTACAGAGAAGGAAGTAGGATTAGGGGTCCTAAAAAATAATAGCTAACTGGGCCAAGTGTTTCACATGAATTGTCTTCTAATTCTCTTACCAATTTGATAAGGTAGGCCCCATTATTATCCTTTTTTAATATTTGAAGAAACTGCAGCTGAAAGAGCTAAGTAACTTGCCTAAGTCACACTTCAAATCCCAGACTTAAATTTGATTCCTCTAGCATGGTGCTTTATACTTCTAAAGGTCAAGGTTAGTTATTTAAAAAAAAAAAAAAAAAGCAAAAATGTGATCTCTGACCCAAAGGAGTTGCCTCGGGCCTGACAGGGGCCAGAAAATGGACAGAAGAACCCAGGGCAGTGTAATCAGTGCTGTGTGGAGGAGCCAGGGCTTACATTTGAGGAACTGGGCTCCTGTGTGGTCCTCAGCAACACTCCCTCAGCCAAGGCCCGGTCCACCGCCTGCCGTGCCAGCTCCTCCAGCTGCTGCTCATCCTGCAAGAAACTTCCCCAGCTACTGGCCATTCCAACCTGCAACAGAAGGAGAGGGCAGGGCTTGGTGACAGATAGCCAGGGGCCAGCAACCCCTGAAACTGGTGGTATGGTACAGGGGAGCTTCATGAGCACAAAACAGAAAGCTTGGCAAGCAATTCCACTGCCACACTCTCTTTTTTTATTTTTATTAAATTAAATCTTTATTCAGATTATTACAGTTGTTCCTCTTCCCCCCCCCCCCCCCATAGCTCCCCTCCACCTGGTTCCCCTTCCACCCTCTGCCCTCACCCCGCCCCCGTCCTCATCCATAAGTGCACGATTTTTGTCCAGTCTCTTCCTGCATCCCCCAAACCCCTTTCCCCTGCAAGAATAGTCAGTCCACTCCCTTTCTATGCCCCTGATTCTATTATAATCACCAGTTTATTCTGTTCATCAGATTATTCACTTGATTTTTAGATTTGCTTGTTGATAGATGTGTATTTGTTGTTCATAATTTGTATCTTTACCTTTTTCTTCTTCTTCCTCTTCTTAAAGGATACCTTTCAGCATTTCATATAATACTGGTTTAGTGGTGATGAACACCTTTAGCTTTTCCTTATCTGTGAAGCTCTTTATCTGACCTTCAATTCTGAATGATAGCTTTGCTGGATAAAGTAATCTTGGTTGTAGGTTCTTGGTAGTCATCACTTTGAATATTTCTTGCCACTCCCTTCTGGCCTGCATAGTTTCTGTTGAGAAATCAGCTGACAGTCGTATGGGTACTCCCTTGTAGGTAACTGACTGTCTTTCTCTTGCTGCTTTTAAGATTCTCTCTTTGTCTTTTGCTCTTGGCATTTTAATTATGATGTGTCTTGGTGTGATCCTCTTTGGATTCCTTTTGTTTGGGGTTCTCTGCACTTCCAGGACTTGTAAGTCTATTTGTTTCACCAGGTAGGGGAAGTTTTCTGTCATTATTTCTTCAAATACGTTTTCAATATCTTGCTCTCTCTCTTCTTCTGGCACCCCTATAATTCGGATGTTGGTACACTTGAAGTTGTCCCAGAGGCTCCTTACACTATCTTTGTATTTTTGGATTCTTTTTTCATTTTGCTTTTTTGGTTGGGTGTTTTTTTGCTTCTTCGTATTTCAAATCTTTGACTTGATTCTTGCAATTCTCTGGTCTGCTATTGGATCTCTGTATATTATTCTTTATTTCAGTCAGTGTATGCTTGATTTCTAGTTGGTTCTTTATCACAACGTCGAGGGTCTCACTAGATTTCTTGAGGGTCCCATTAAGTTTATCGGCAGTTTCTAGAAAATTCTTGAAAAACCTTAAAAGTGTGGTTTTGAACTCTATACCCAGTAGTTTGCTTTCCTCCATTTCTGTCATTTGTGTCCTGTTTCTTTGTCTCCGCATTTTTTATGCTTCACTGTATCGATAGAGTGGCTTTCTGTGCTAAGTGTCCTATAAGGCCCAGTGGCTCAGCCTCCCCAATTACCTGAGGTAGACACTCTTGGTGCACCCCCTTGTGGGCTTTGTGCACAGTCTTGTTGTAGTTAAGCCTTGATTGTTGTAGGTAACACTGGGAGGGATTGACCTCCAGGCCAATTGGCTGTGAGAATCAGCTGTTTCTGCAGTGATGGTATTATTCTCAAAGTAAGGAAGCAGAGGTTCCGAGAGGTGAAATTACTTGCCCCTGGTAATGACTGGTAAAACCTGGATTGAACCCATGTCTCTGGACTCTCAGCTCAATGCTTTTCATTGTAGAAAGAGGCACTAATGTCATATGCTATTGGGGCAAGTTCCTTCCAATCCCAAGCTGCAGACTCTCTACCTGTGAAAAAGAGGAGGATGGGGTAGACCAGTGGTTTCTAAAACTGGCTGAATATTCTGGGGGTGGGGGTGGGGATGGGGCTGGAAAGTTAATACAGATTCCTAAACTCCATTCAGAAATTCTGATTCAAGAAGTCTGAGGGGAGGGAGGGACTGAAACTGTATTTTTAACAAGTTTTCCTGGGATGGGAACCATTGTACAAGATTATAATTTTCCTTCTAGCCCCTAAAACCCAGATCTCAGATAAATTACATGGGAGTGCGTGGCTGACCTTCAAACTAGAATATCCAACTGCTTACTTGGAGTAGAATTTGTTGTCCCCCCACAAATCTCCTCCTCTGATTAGCCCACCCAGGGTTAATCCCCTTGTATATACTCCTGGTATGCCCCATCCCCCCAAATCCTGTGGAGCCTATCTAAAGATACAGTCCTGACTTCCTGATTTCGCTCCATCTCCACTGTCAGGAGCCTAGCACTAAACCCAAGACCCAGGGTTCAGAGTGAGAGACCTTCAGTGACCAGAATACATCAGCTTCTCTCCTTCCAGGTCTGGGCACGTGCGGGAGTTTGGAACACTTCCCAGCACGTCCAACCAAGTCATGACTTCGTTTTAGAAGCCATCCCTGTTCTCCACCCAGGGCTTCTACAGCCCATTACACCTCCCTGCACTGTGTCCGTGATCACATCTCCACCTCCAGCACCTACCATTGTAGTCAACGGATGTAAAATGAATGAGTGAGATCCAAAAAATGGTGACCGGCAGGAAGGTAGGGAGGGAGAGAGTGTGAGAGCGCAAGGAAGTGATAGAGGAGTATGTGGACATGTGTGGTGTGTGTGTGCATGAGCTAGGGACAGTTAGATTCTGCAGGTCTTCTAAGGGGCTGCTAAACTGGGCAGTCTTAGACGGCAGAGCCCCGCTCCCTGCGCAGACACTCCTGGGTGGCCAGGATGGGCACAGCGACCACGCCATCTTGGGAAACAGAGCTGCTTGAGACTAGGATCCTGGCCTCAACACCACCCAGTCTGATCTCAGATGCATACCAGGACCCTGCAGCCACTGGGGACAGAGACCTGTGACCACAGCTACAGACCTGAGGACACCAAAAGTCCAGAAATCCCCGTGGCAGATCCATGAGTAACAGAGCCTATCCCCTTCCCCGCAGGCTCAAGGGCAGCGCCATAGTAACTGATAGACCCACCCCTTGCCCGGGCCTCAGTGCTGCTTCAGGAACTTTAGCCTGGAAGTGTGCGAGCACCTTCGAACTGGTCCCGCGTAGTGCCGGCTTCAGGAGTCCTAGGCTGGGAGCAAACGCTCGAACACCGGGAACTGATCCTGTGCGCAGTGCCGGCTTCAGGAGTCCTGGGCTGGGAGCAAACGCACGAACACCGGGAACTGACCCCGCGCGCAGTGCCGACTTCAGGAGTCCTGGGCTGGGAGCAAACGCATGAACACCGGGAACTGATCCTGCGCGCAGTGCCGGCTTCAGGAGTCCTAGGCTGGGAGCAAAGCGCGAACACAGAGAATTTGTCCTGCGTAGCGCCGGCCCAGGGACCCCGATTCTCTGGGCAGGAGGCAGCACCAAGCACCAGTGACTTGATTGTGTTTCTTATCACCTGCGCCTGAGATCCCTGATTCCCTGTGCATTCATACTAAGAGCCAGTGACTCCAATTCTTGCTGCATGGGCACACAGGGACCCTGATTCTCAATGCGAGGTCGCGTGAAGCAACAGAGACTCTGATACTGGATTCTTGTGGAACTCTGACTCCTGGCACGTGCTAGAGGGCGCTGATTTTCAACACGCTACAGGGGGGTCTCTGTTTCAGCACGGTGCAGGCAGGGTCCCTGATTCTAAGGGCATGCACGAGGCCACATTGAGCGCTGGCAACACTGACTCTGAGCGAGCCTGGTTCCCACCAACCCACAACAACAACACATCTTAGTGTCAGAGCTCTTCAGTGACACTAGGGTGGTGTGAGGCTCCCACTGCACATGCCCCAGGCCCACACAACTCGACATTTGAACCATCAGGAGATAATCAGAATGAAGAGACAACACAACACCCAGAGGAAAGACAATGAGGAGTCGCCAAGAAAGGAAATTAATGAAATTGAAGCATGCAACATGACAGAAAAAGAATTCAGAATAATGGTTGTACAATTCATTCACCGGATGGATGAGAAAATCAACAACCTATGCAAGAATCAGGAAGAAATGAAAAGTGATATAGCTACAATCAAAAACACCATGGAAAGTTTCAACAGCAGACTAGAAGAAGAAGACCAAATTAGTGAGTTAGAAGATAAGGCAGAGAAACAAGCTCAATCTGAACAGCAACTGGAGAAAAAAATTAAAAAGCAGGAGGAGAGCCTAAGGGAGCTTTGGGACAACATGAAACGAAGTAACATATGCATAATAGGGCTGCAAGAAGGACAAGAAGAGCAGCAAGGATTAGATCATCTATTTGAAGAAATAATGACAGAAAACTTCCCAGATATGGGGAAGAAAAACGTTACACAAGTACAGAGAGTCCCAAGCAAAATGAACCCCAAAAGAATCACACCAAGACATGTCATAATAACAATGGCAAATGTATAAGACAAAGAGAGAATCTTAAAGGCTGCAAGAGAGAAACAGAGAGTTACCTACAAGGGATTCCCCATCAGATTATCAAATGATTTCTCAACAGAAACACATCAAGCTAGAAGGGAATGGAAGGAGGTATACAAAGTGTTGCAAAGCAAAGGACTGAATCCAAGAATACTATATCCAGCAAGACTATCAATCAAAATTGAAGGGGAAATCAGGAGCTTTGCAGACAAAAAAAGGCTAAGGGAGTTTATCACTACCAAGCCAGCAATGCAAGAAATGCTAAAAGGAATGCTGTAAAAAGAAGAAATATAAAGGCAAGAAAGAACACAGGCACGAAAATAGAAATGACTCCAAGCAAGTACCTTTCAATAATAACTTTAAATGTAAACGGGATAAACGCTCCAATCAAAAGACATCGAGTGGCTGAATGGATAAAAAGACATGACCCATATGTATGCTGTCTACAAGAGACCCACCTCAGAAAAAGGGACTCACACAGACTGAAAGTGAAGGGATGGAAAAATATCTTTCAGGTAAATGGAAATGAAAAAAAAAGCTGGGGTAGCAATACTTATAACTGTCAAAATAGACCGCAAAGTGAAGGCCATAACAAGAGATAAGGAAGGCCACTTCATAATATTAAAGGGATCGATACAACAACAGGATATAACCCTTATAAACATATATACACCCAATGCAGGAGCACCCAAATACATAAAAAACCTCCTGGAAAATAACAAGGGAGAGATCAACAACAACACAATCATAGTAGGAGACTTAAACACATCACTGACATCACTGGATAAATCCTCTAGAAAAAAAAAATCAGCAAAGAAACAGCAATCCTAAATGACTCACTAGATCAGATGGACTTAATTGACATCTTCAGAACATTTCACCCCAAAGCCACGGAATATATGTTCTTCTCAAGTGCACATGGGACATTTTCAAAAATAGACCACATATTGTGTCACAAGCAAAGTCTCCCCAAATACAAGAAGATTGAAATCATACCAAGCATCTTCTCAGATCACAAGGGCATAATATTAGAAATAAACCACAATAAAAACAATCCAAAAAACTCAAACACTTGGAAGCTGAATAGCATGTTACTAAATAATGATTGGGTTACCAGTGAGATCAAAGAAGAAATTAAAAACACCCTGGAAACTAATGACAATAACAGTACAACAACCCAAAATCTATGGGACACAATGAAAGCAGTCCTGAGAGGGAAGTTTATAGCACTACAGGCCTACCTCAAAAAACAAGAAAAAATGATAGTAAATCATTTAACTCTACAACTCAAAGAATTAGAAAGAGAACAACAAAAAAAGCCCAGAGTGAGCAGAAGAAAGGAGACAATAAAGATTAGAGCAGAAATAAATGACATAGAGACCAAAAAAAAAAAAAAATACAAAAGATCAATGAAAGCAAGAGCTGGTTCTTTGAAAGGATAAACAAGATTGATGAGCCTCTAGCCAGGCTCACCAAGAAGCAAAGAGAGAGGACTCAAATAAACAAAATCAGAAATGAAAGAGGCAAAATAACAACAGACCCCTCAGAAATTCAAAGAATTGTTAAAAAATACTATGAACAACTCTACTCTAACAAACTAAACAACCTGGAGGAAATAGACATATTCCTAGAAAAATATAATCTTCCAAAACTCAATCCAGAGGATTCTAAAATCTCAACAGGCCAATAACTATGGAAGAAATTGAAGCAGTCATCAAAAAGCTCCCAGCAAACAAAAGCCTGGGGCCAGATGGCTTCACAGGGGAGTTTTACCAAACATTCAAGGAAGACCTAAAACCTATCCTCCTCAGACTATTCCAAAAAATTCAAGAAGAAGGAACACTTCCCAGCTCATTCTATGAAACCAGCATCACCCTAATACCAAAACCAGATAGAGACAACACAATGAAAGAGAATTATAGGCCAATATCCCTCATGAACATAGATGCCAAATACTCAACAAAATTCTAGCAAATCAGATCCACCAATACATCAGAAAGATCATAGACCATGACCAAGTAGGATTCATCCCAGGGATGCAAGGATGGTACAATATCTACAAATCAATAAACATGATTCATCACATAAACAAATTGAGAGATAAAAACCACATAGTCATATTAATTGATGCAGAAAAAGCTTTCGACAAAATCAACACCCTTTCTTGATAAAAACTCTCAGCAAGGTAGGAATAGAAGGATCATACCTCAACATAATAAAAGCCATATATGACAAACCCACAGCCAACATCATAATCAATGGGCAAAAACTAAAACCATTTCCCCTGAGAACAGGAACAAGATAGGGATGCCCCCTCTCACCACTCCTGTTCAACATAGTACTGGAAGTACTAGCCATTGCGATCAGACAAGAAGAAGAAATAAAAGGCATCCAAATTGGAAAAGAAGAAGTAAAACTGTCCTTATTTGCAGATGACATGATACTGTACATAGAAAACCCTAAAGACTCCATCAAAAAATTATTAGAGTTAATAAATGAATTCGGCAATGTAGCAGGATACAAAATTAATGCCAAGACATCTAAGGCATTTCTTTACACCAATAGGGAACTTACAGAAAGGGAGACTAAAAAAGCAATCCCATTTACCATCGCACCAAAAAAATTAAGATACCTAGGAATAAACTTAACTAAGGAGGTAAAAGACTTATATGCGAAAAACTACAGGACACTGAAAAAAGAGATAGAGGAAGACATAAACAGATGGAAGAACATACCGTGTTCATGGATTGGTAGAATCAACATCATCAAGATGTCCATACTACCCAAAGCAATCTATAGATTCAATGCAATCCCCATTAAATTACCAACGGCATATTTCACAGATCAAGAACGAACACTCCAAAAATTCATCTGGAATAAAAAAAGACCTCGAATAGCTGCAGCAATCCTGAGAAAGAAGAACAAAGTAGGTGGGATCTCAATACCAGATATCAAACTGTATTACAAAGCCACTGTTCTTAAAACAGCTTGGTACTGGCACAAGAACAGACATATAGATCAATGGAATAGAATAGAGAACCCAGAAATTGACCCAAACCACTATGCCCAATTAATATTCGACAAAGGAGGCAAGAGCATACAATGGAGTCAAGACAGTCTCTTCAATAAATGGTGTTGGGAAAATTGGACAGATACATGCAAAAAGATGAAACTAGACCACCAACTCACACCATACACAAAAATAAACTCAAAATGGATAAAAGACTTAAACGTAAGACGGGAAACCATAAAAATACCAGAGGAATTCATAGGCAGCGAAATTGCAAACATATGTCGGAGGAATTTCTTCTCTGATACAGCTCCTAGGGCAATGGAAACTAAAGAGAAAATAAACAAATGGGACTACATTAAAATAAAAAGCTTTTGCAAAGGAAAAGGGAAACCATCAACAAAACAACAAGAAGACCCACTGCATGGGAGAACATATTTGCCAATGATATCACCTATAAGGGTTTAATCTCCAACATTTACAAGGAACTCATGAAACTTAATAATAGGAAGATAAACAATCCAATAAAAAAATGGGCAATGGATCTAGATAGACACTTTTCGAAAGAGGACATACAGAGGGCCGAAAGACATATGAAAACATGCTCAAAGTCACTAATTATACGAGAGATGCAAATCAAAATGACAATGCGGTATCACCTCACACCTGTCAGAATGGCTATCATCAACAAATCAACAAATGACAAGTGCTGGAGAGGATATAGAGAAAAAGGAACACTCAGGCACTGCTGGTGGGAATGCAGACTGGTGCAGCCACTGTGGAGAACAGTATGGAGCTTCCTCAAAAAACTAAAAATGGAACTCCCATTTGACCCAGTGATCCCACTTCTAGGAATATCCCAAGAAGCCAGAAACACCAATCAGAAAGGATATATGCACCCATATGTTCATAGCAGCACAATTCACCATAGCTAAGATCTGGAAACAGCCTAGTGCCCATCAGCAGATGAGTGGATTAGAAAACTGTGGTACATCTACACAATGGAATACTATGCTGCGGTAAAAAAGAAGGAACTCTTGCCTTTTGCAACAGCTTGGATGGAACTGGAGAGCATTATGCTAAGTGAACTAAGCCAGTTGGAGAAAGATAAATACCACATGATCTCACTCACTTGTGGAATATAGAGAACAACATAGACTGATGAACAGGGATAGATACAAAGATTGAGAAACAGCGATCAGACTATCAATCCCCAGAGGGAAAGTAGGGGAGGGTGGGGGTAAGGGGAAGAGATCAACCAAAGGACTTGTATGCATGCATATAAGCCAAACCAATGGACATGGACAACAGGGGGATGAGAGCATGAGTGGGGGGTGGGGGAGAATGGGGGTTAATGGGGGGGGGGGATGAGGACACATTTGTAATTCCTTAACTAATAAAGAATTTAAAGATAAAAAAAATGAATGAGTGATTACTGAATGACAGACTGGGGCCAGATCACCTAGGGCCTTAACACGCCCACACGGACACCCGGTTGGACTTCATCCCGAGGGCGGGGCCCGTGCCTGTGCGGGGCCCCGGGCAACAACGCGGTCTCCTGCCCAGGCCTGCCTCACTTTACGGGCTTGATCGCTCTCACTCTGGACAAAGTTGGGTCCTAATCGCTCCCACTTTAAAACACTACAACTCAGGCTCTCGTCTCACCCGCACCATGTTCCCGACAGCGACCGCATCTGAAGTCAGGAGACCTGGGAAATCTGAGCCCAACCCCCTCACTGGACACGTTTCCTGGTTCCTGTCAATGACTTTGATCGGCGAGATCACCGGCCTCCAGGGTTCCAAACGCCGGCCAGTGCCCACCCTCACGGCATTCCTCCGGAGGAAACGTGACCCCTGCCGGCCGCCGTCGCCTCGCCCCCAACCTACTTGTTCGCGACCCCGCCGCGCGCCGTACTCGGGTCTCTCGCGCCGTTACCCGCGGTCCAGGGGGCGGGGCCTCCACGGGCTCCAAAGCGCCTGCGCGGCCCGCCCCGGAGGGGCCTGCAGAGCGAGGCGGGGCAGGAGGCCGTGCTTGTGGAGACGGATGGCGGCCGGAAGGGGCCGCCCGAGTGAGGGCAGCCTTGGTATAGGGGTGCGTCGGCTTCCCAGGCGGCAAGACTTTGGGGAGGAAAGGAGGAGTCGGGCTGGGTCGGCGGGGCGCTGCGGGTTTGCTAGCTCGTAGGGCGTCCGAGCTGGTGATGTCCAAGGTGAAAGGGGGACACCTCCCCGGAATGGGGCAGCCACTGCCTCGGGGCTCGCAGCTGGCGGGGCTGGGGAGGTAATGGAGGCCCAGCGAGGGGCAGAGACCCGCGCGGAGTCCCCTACACGTTAAGGGCTGAGTCGGTGTTGGACCCGGGCTTGTCTCCCACTCCGTCGGGTCCCAGAAAAGCCCACCCGATTCCTCTGGTGCCGGGACAGCTGCAGGGAAAACTTACTAAGCGGTTCTCAACCTGGGGGTCGAACGACCCTTTCACAGGGGTCACCTAAGACCATCGGAAAACACATATATAATTACATATTGTTTTTGTGATTAATCACTGTGCTTTAATTATGTTCAATTTGTAACAATGAAATTGGGGGTCACCACATCATGAGGAACTGTATTAAAGGGTCGCGGCATTAGGAAGGTTGAGAACCACTTTGCCTGCAAAGAAAGGCATTTTCACTTTTCCAGCGATTTTAAACTTATGAATCAGTGATGGTGACCCAGTGTTTCTCCAAATGTCCAATCTCCCTTCCATCAGGGTCTGGGGCAGGTTTTGTGTGTGTGTGTTTAATGCAGATCCTTCGTACCTACCCCCACCTCACTCCTTGATGGCTTCCCTTCTTTCTGGGTTGTGATAGGATTCTTCTCAACCCGAAACACCTGATAGGAATTTTAGTTAAAACTGAATTTCAGTCCAGGCTCCGGGGAATTAACCATGAATAAGACACAGCCTCTACTCTCACATCTGATTGGGGAGGGAGCCCTGCAACCTGCTCTTCTGGGGAGCTGTAGGGGTCTTGGTGGGTAGAGTGGGAAGGCAGTTAAGAAAGTAGGGATGGCAGTGAGAGGCAGGAACGGGGACAGTGTGCCAAGCAGCAGGAGCAGAAGCAGCAAAGGCACGTCATTCTAAGTGTGGCTCAGCCTGTTTTGGAGACAGTGGGGAGTTTGGTGTGGATGCTGAGAAGGGCCTGGGAGCTGGAACGGGCCTGGGAGGAGCTCAGCTTTGGGGAGGGAGCCTTGGGTGCCAGGTTAAGGAGTTTGGCATTTGTCCAATGAGCAGTGGGGAGCTGTCTTGAGACTTTTAAGCAGGGGAGAAACATGGTCTTTTATGTGTGTTTGGCGTTGGTTACAGTGTGGCAAGTGGTTTGGAAGTCTGAGACTAATGCCAGAGAGAGAGCTCCCACGAAGCTGTGAGATGAGGAAGCAGTGGCTGAGAGATGGAGAGAAGGGGATAGATTAAAGAGATATTTAGGAGAGAATATTATGACTGGTTATAAATCAGTGGTCCAACCAAGGGGCCAGGATGCTCCCAACTTCTTAAATAAAGCATTTACATTCTCTGTCTGCAGGACAGACCGAGCCCTCCAACCTTGTTAGGGGGGCGGGAAGGGATAGTAGTCTGGTTATTACAACAGTGTTTCCATGGTGTCTTTCCTTGGTCTCCTTTCATACCAGAGGAAGAGTATGAAGCAGCAGTTACTACAATAAGCCCCGGGTGACAGGAAAAGCCTGCTGTGTTAACTAGGAACAAAGAAAGCTATTTCTAGTTCAGCATAAAAACAAAAAGCATGACCCAGGATTTTCTATGCAGGTCCCCCTGCTCCAAGATGGGTGTCAAGTGATATATCAGGTGTCTATTGGTGAGATTTGGGGAGGATTCCAGACCTTAAAAGCCTTTTGGTTGAGTCCCCTCACATTGTGGCAGGTAAGGTGTTTTTATTCCCATTTCATAGATGTGGCAGCTGAGCCTCAGAAGCGATGTGACTTATTCAGCGGCACCCAGTTAGTGGTGGAACTGGGAGTGAGGGGCTCTTGGCCAAGGGTCTACCCCGCGAGATTTTGCCCTTCCTGCTCCCTCTGCCCAGATGGTTTGCTCCCAAATCTTGCTATGACTGGCTCCTACTTGTTATTCAGATGTTTCCTCTTCAGACGTCATCCTCACCCCCTCTGTCTGGATCACATTATCCTATGTATTTTCTTAATAGCACCTATGAGTGTCTGAAATTATTAATTTTATGTATCTGGTATTTCCCTGCATTAAAATGTGAGCTCCATGAAATGAGGGACAATACCTGTCTTGTCCACCACTTTACACCCAGCACCTGTACTGGTGCCTGCCGTAGTAGATGCTCAATACGTCCTGAATGATGGAAATAAGCTGGGGAGAGAGGGAAGGAAACCAACATTACGTGAAAGCTGAGGATGCTCCAGGTGCTTCTCATAAACTTACCTCACTTAATATCACAGCCTTTCCAGGTAGGCACAGCAGGTCCTCCAATAACTTCATTTTGTTCGTTAGGATTGTACCAATTTATACCAATTAGCCTATGATAAAATTGGTTTTGTTATCCATCGTTCTGCTTAAAGTAGCACAACCTATTAACAACATTAAATGAGGACTTACTATACTGTATCTCCATAGGGTGGATAAGAAGGTATGCTAAGTTAGGTCACCTCAGTGGTTTGTTAGTTTTGTGGCCACAGACATTTTTAAGAATCTCCATTAGACAAACTTTTTGCACACCATGAAGAGGTATTCACAGACCTCCTAGGCCCACTCAGGGATTCCAAGTCAAGGAACCCAGAATTAGAGAACTTGCCTGAGGTCTCTCTGGTCTCAAGACTTTGCTTCTTTTCAAGCCTGGACCTCTTGAGTGGGGCATCTCTGCCATCCCAGGGTCTGCATTGTACGTGGTCTGCAATGTGCACGTGGCTGCTGTCTCTTTTTAGCAATGACATCACACCGCCTGGTATGTTGTTTATGAGGCTGTTTCCCCATTTGGCCGGGGGTCCACTGCTTGGCCGTTCAGAGTGGAATTCCTCTGTCTCCCAGCCCTTAGTGCAGGCCTGCAGGGCTGCTCCGGAATGCCTGTGGAATCAAAGTGAGGCCTTGCCATGTGTTGAGGATTTACTGTGTGCCAGGCCTGTCCCAGATACTTTATATGTGTTATCTCATTTACACCCCTGGGGTAATCCTGGGAGGGAGACGTTAGTCCCTGTGTTACTGAGAAGAAACAGAGGCTCAGTTCGGCTTTGCCTTAGGCCGGCTTGCAATGATTGATGGCACCTGGACTGATTCCAGGGCCTGTGCTCCCGTCGTGCATGAACTCTTAAAGCTGTGGCTGGTCACAGGGAGACATATTCCTCAGCCCCCACGGTCCTCAGAGACTTTCTACTAAGAGGTTCTTCTCCAGCTCTCATTTCATCCGTGAGGAAACGAGCACAGAAAGGATAGAGGACTTACAGCCTCTCTTGTTTGTTCACTTACCCATTTATGGGCAGGATGGGATCTGCCTTTATCACCATCATACCACACAGGTAGCCCAGTGCCTGGTCTAGGTCAGCACTCAGTAAATACTTAAAAAAAAAATTTTTTTTAAAATCTTCACCCGAGGATATGTTTTTATTAATTTTAGAGAGAGAGGCAGGGGGAGAGAGAAACATTGATTGGTTACCACCCATACACACCCTGACTAGGGATCAAACCTGCAACCTTTTGGTGTATGGGATGATGCTCCAACCAACTGAGCCACCTGGACAGGGCACTACTTTTAAATATTATTTATTATGAAAACATTGAGAAAGGTATGAAGATTAGTGTAACAAACACCCTTATACCCACCATAAAACATTGTGAAAGAAAACATTGCTAATTAAGCTGAAGGTCCTCTGAAGTGTACCCCCCACCCCAGCCAAATTAAAGACTCTCCTGAATTTGGTGTTTACCAATCCTGTGCAATTTTTTATTGAGATATTCATATACCATAAAATTTAACATTTTAAATTTAACATTTACAAATCAGTGGTTTTTACTACATTCACAAGACTGTGCAGCCATCACCACTATCTAATTCCAGAACATTTTCATCACCCCAAAAGAAATCGCATACCCATTAGTAATCACTCCCCCATTCCTCCCTGTCTCTCCAGCCCCTGGCAATCACTACTCACCTACTTTCTGTATCTAAGAATTTGCCTATTCTGGACATTTAGTATAAATGGAATCCTATTTGTGGCCTTTGTGTCTGGTGTCTGCCACTTACCATAGTGTTTTCAGGGTTCATCCATCTTGTAGCACTTATCAGTATTTCATTCCTTTTTATGCCTGAATAGTACTCCATTTTGTTCTCCATCTAGAAGCTGATGGACAACGGAGTTGTTTCCCCTTTGGGCTATTATAAGTAATGCTGCTGTGAACATTAATGTACAAGTTTTTGTGTGGATATATGTTTTGAATTCTCTTGGTTATATACCAAGCAGTGGACTTGCTGGGTCATATGGTAACTGTTTAACTTTTTGAGGAACTGCCAGACTGTATTCCAAAGTGGCAATACTACTTTATATTCCCACCAGCAATTTATGAGAGTTCCAATTTTACATTCTCACTAACACTTGTTATTGTCTGATTATGACAGTCCTAGTGATGGTATCCTCATTGTATTTCAATGTGCATTTTCCTAATGACTAATGGTGTTGCATATCTTTTCATGTGCTTATTGGCCATTTGTTTATCACCTTTGGAGAAATGTTTATTCAAGTCTTTTGCCCATTTAAAAATTGGGCTATTTGTCTTTTTATTGTTGAGTTATAAGAATTTTTTGTATATTCTGGATACCAGACTCTTATCAGATATAGGATTTACAAATAGTTTCTCCCATTCTGTGGGTCATCTTCTGGTTTCTTGATAGTGTCCTGTGAAGCACAGATTTTAAAAAAAATTTTTTTATTTATTTCAGAGAGGAAGGGAGGAGA